ACCACAACCATAAATACGAGAGATAATGAACCGTTTATCATTAACAGACTGTCAAAAAATCCAGAGGCTTTTCCAAGGAGAAACATTAGGTGATCGGTCCCTGTCGCAGTTTTTACATCACCTCTAGGTCTTAGTGGGTGGTAACACAGTGGGTGCAGCAGTCCTAAAACAAGGATGGATACAAGCTCTTTCATGCTACGTCCAATACTGTTTGGATGCACAAGATCCTGAAACCTCCTTATCTCATTCAGCACTTATAGCCAACAGAATAATAGAAAGAGTTCCTCAAACTGGGTCACGCACGATAAACCACACACAAGAAGAAGAACCAGCAAAAGACTCAGTCATAGAAGGACTAATTGCAGGTCTCCACAACGGCCAAGACCCAAGTCACAAAACAGGTCACAAATTTCCAGACAATCTGGGCAGTTCTGTTGGTATCACTGGAAGTTTGGTGTCAACCCAACTAAGTGCATGCAGCCATGTGCTTGGCCTAAACAAAATCCCAAAAATCCGGAAAACGAGTAACCCCTCCCCAGATCATTTTCAGAAGGTAAAACGGATGACTTAGCTACATTTGATAAGTCGCTATCAGAAAACAATGAAAAAGAAGAAACCGAAAGACCGTACCTTAGGGAGTCCACATTCTACTAATCTCTGCGTTGAGAAGGCCCCATTTATCTACATCCCATATCGCTTATCACTGAAAAAATCACTCATCAAGTTAACGACTTGATAATGAACTTCATAATATACCAGTTTCAATCTAAAAGGAAGATGATAAGTCTGATCAAAATAATATATCTTGTTTCCGAAAACTGTATCACTATTCAAAACATATCATGTGGTGGATTGTGAAGCTACTTTAAAAAACGTTAAAAGTTACCGAGTAGTTGTGTACTATGCCGTTCATCGTTGTGAAATTATGTTAACCCGGATTTCGAGCATTATTTATTAGAATTACCTCACGATATAAACTCAGTGCAAAGGAGTATCAGTGATACTCTTCAATCTCTATATCACTTGTTTATAATCAGGCTTTTATTTAGGTTTCTTTCAAAACACTTTACTTTTTAAATTAAAAGGTCTACAGGATTTCTCATCATTGACAAGGTACTAATAAATAAAATATTAAGCTCACTTTAGAATGCTTTTTTGAACTGTTATTTATTACTGACTTCAAATTGTTCGAATGGTGGTAATGGAGTAGACGAAGCTTTCACTTAACGGACCTCTGTATCTAGCAGCAGTTGGTTACCGATGCCTGAAAGTAGGAACCTAGGCACATTCAACGAGCTGGAGAGAAAAGTTGTTGGATAATACAGAAGTATTGTCGTAAGTTCTTTGGAGTATCCCACGTTTTCTCCGGAAGGAATCCTGGGTTAGGACCGAGACTAAGTAAGTATTAAAGTGGGTGCTCAAGAGTATTTAGGGTGCAACAAGTCATTAGCAGTTCACCTCTAAGGCACCTGTATAATGATTGGTAAGGATCCGATGATTTGAGGCTTTCTTCTGAAGATTGGAATTTGAGTCCTCAAACTGGTTTTGTGACTTCCCTTTAGATACGTTTCTGTATATTTTTATCTTTATGAATTGTGTCAAGGAACACTATATTTCCATAACCTAAATGGAACCGGATCAAATTGCCAATGATCAAGGGGAAAGTCTTACCGTCAAAATTGTCAAAAGCACACTTCGTTATCAGTGTAAGGTTCGGTAGAGAGGCAGTTTTGTCGCAGTAAGCATAAGGCTTCATATTATAGTTATCAGGACTCCTAGAAATGCTTTCAACTTCACACAACTTTCAAAGATCATTACCTGAGTTATTTGCATAGTTCGTAACATGTTTCAAATGAACTGCTTTGCTATTTGAAGCAATGACATTAAATTCATTGTTACCCGCCCAACTTTTAAGTCAATCCTGGTCCTATTAAAGTGCCAACTTATCGTCCTAGTTGTGGAATTCCTTGCAAAATTAAACGTCAGCAAAAATCAATAATTTCAACGATACTTGATGATGTCATTAAGGTAGATTAAAGAGAGGAGTGGTCCTAGAAGTGAACCCTGTGGAAATCCATTTGGATATTCCATGGCCTAAAAACTGTGACGTACGCCGTGATTACAAAAAGAAAATTATTTAGTCATGTGGTTAACCAGCGTAAAAATGGTGACTTAATACATAACAGTTTCAGCCTAATGATGAGACATATATGGCTGAATCCACTAAACGTTTTTTCGAAGTTATGGTATGTTAAATGTACCTTCCGTTTGCAATGAATAACGGTGGCTCATCTGTCCAACGTATTTAGTAGATCGTCTGTACAACTGTGACCCTTACTAAAGCTGTGCTTTTGAGGTGAAAAGTTTATGAATAACAAGCAGTCGGATAAGTCTTGGTAAACCAAGCACGCCATGACTTTCGAAACATCTCGAAAGAAATTCTGCTGGTTGCTTTCTGGAAGATGTGCTGAGTCAACTACCTTCGACAATTGGTGTGATTGTGTACCAGCTTCGAATTTTCTGGGACCTAACCTTACGTTAGCGACTGTTTGTTGCTTGTAGTTATCCCTCGGTTGTCTAAATTAAGGGTCAGATTTTTGGTTGAAATATATCTTTATTCAGATCGTGGGGCGCGAGACCTTCTTTTTCAAACACAAAGTTTTCAACATTCAATGGAGGGTAATAGGAAATGTGATGATCCCAACTCAAGGGCACACTATGCGTGTTAGTTTACGGGTTTTCGCGCACATGTAACATATTGTCGTGGATTTTATGTTTCGTTATTTATCAGCTATTAACAGCCTTTTTTCCATCATACGTGACTTCTCGTTATCTTTGTGATTGGAAGATAGTATTTATTTCAATTTATAAGCAGTTTGACGTATTTTGTGCTCACCACCTAAGTAAACATGCAGTTGGCGTAATATGGTTATTTTTAAATAATACAAGGTCAAACAAGTCAAATCCCCATTTTTCTAGTGAAAAATAGAAAACAGATTGACTTTTCATGAAAATAAGCCGTGAAAAGCATTATATATGGTTCACCTCCTTGATTATGGTGACAGCAAACATAGATGTTCGCAGTCGTTTATAAGATGTTATCAGAAAGAAGTAAGCATTAAACTAACTATGGATATTATATAAATTGTTTGTATTTAGCCATAAAAGGTTATTTGCACTAAAGGTAGCATTGTTTGGTATTGAAGTGACATATTATTGTGTAACGTATCAGAGAAAAATTATGTGAGTAAGAATTGATGTTGATAGTCTTTTTTACCGGCTTTCTGAACGTAATCAGGAACAGTGTATAACACCACATTAAATAGGCACAAAATCTCCATAAGTGAAACGATGGCTGTCTCTTCTGAGCATGGTGACAAAACCATGTCGTACTTAATATTGATTCATGATGTGTCTGTTATAGGGTTGACGAATAATTTTCTGTAGACGAAATGCACAGTCTCAGACGAAAATGTGAACAAACTTATGATGCATATTGTCGAGTAATATCTAAATGGTACTTACCAATTTTTCTTGCTAATACCAGATGTATGTACGAAATAATACAAGGGTTAGACACTGAATAAATTCCCGGTGCTTGTTACGACACAGACTTGGATAAAAAACAACTTTTCATGAGTTAATTCATGAATTCCTACTGTATTACATACTGACTCGTCCGAAGTAATTCATGCAGACAACGGGACGAAAAGTGAATGAGCAATGGAAGCAGAATCACAAGTTCCTTGTATTCATATCTCGTTTATGCCACATTAATGAATAACATTTTCTTCATAATTCAGACCACGCTTCTTTGTTGTGACGAAACTGATTTCAGTAATTTTTAAATAACATTGATTTGTGTGTTGTAAAGATTACCTATTAATTTTTATTAAAGGAAATAGAAATCTCTAATGATTAGCGCTGTCTGCAAATAAGAGACTTATAGGTACATTCTGTAACCTGCCATTTGATGTACTTATTGAATGTGATACTTATAACTAGGTCTAATTCTTTATTTCACAACTGATTTGTTTGTTTTTCAGAATTGTATGAATCCAATAAAGTCGTCAATGGTTTGTGATGTTTACGCCGGTCTACAACTTACAGAATTTGTTAAAAAACGGTTTAGATGTTCACGTTAACTGTGTTCCGTATTGCCTAGTAACATTTTTATTCAACTAATGAATTAGTGAAATATAAATATAGCAACTACACTTATTATCTTACTTTATAAACCGTGTCCGTCTTTATTAATAGTCGATATGACGCTAGAACAAATATAGATATAGAATAATATGAACTCCTTATAATCCATGGAGTGAACAAGTAATAAGATGGATTATGTATTAATTCATTTCACTTTTAAAATTTAGTTGCCGATTTATTCCAGCACCCTGTCACTTACATCTGCTCACTTAATCCTCTGTAATTATGTGACCTCTTCAAATTGTAATGAGTTATTACGTGACCCAAGTTTTCAGTTCTTAAATCCACGGATCACTTATAGGCCATAAGATTTTCACACCACTTATCTGTCTGTGAACTGCAGTCCACTATTACACCACCCATTCTTAATGTGTTATTGGCTGTAAAAACAAATGACCTTTGACCTTAAACTGCATATATATATATAGTCATTATTGATAACCCACGTCATTTCAATTATTCATATTAAGGTATGTCAACTGTTTCCCACATCACTGTTAAATCCTAATGCATATTTAGTTATAACGAATGCATACCACTGTTAATCAACATTTATCCTGGTTTCATTTTAATTCATAAGCGGAACTAATCACATGAAATTAAAATCTTAGCTACTGATACGATTTTAATTATAAACGTAATCCGACGAAGGTGAATATGATATGTGGGTGCCTAATCTGCAAGATTGTACGTGGATGTAGGGTTTCTGAATCATTCTTAATTATTACAAACAGTTACACATGAACGTCATTGCTATTTATTCCCATGAAACTAGGAATAAGAAGAAAATTAAAATTATGACAGTTTATTGAATAATCATTGCTGCTAAAGCAGAAAATCAAGTTTACAAGTTGGTATTAAGAATTCTTAAGTAATAATTGTCCACCTTCTTCTCAACTTCCGTTGCGAAACGTTCACCATACTTCTCAATGATGCGTTGCATGTCCGTGTGTCATACGGACAGCCGCGCTTTCACATCTTGCGCAGTCCATCACAAATGTTTCAGTCAACATTGTATCCCCCATTATCTCTTTGAATTGATCTAGAATCCATATAACATCAGCACGCTTTTCCCTTCGAGTCCATGCAAACATTACAGTTCGACCTCGACCGCAATTATCCGTCACTACTAACTGGAATAAGGAATATCTACATAGTAAAATACAACGATAAACATATTCACTTTTTATTATTAGTATTATACGTAGAATCAATGCACACAACTTCTGGATATTTTCTGTACAGTTGTATTTGGTTAGAACTACTGAAACATATTCTAGTGGCATATCCATTTTCTAAATGTTCCTTCACTTCGCCTCTCTGTCTAAGCATATCCATTACCTGGCTCCGAGTAAAACAACCTGAAATATATTTATATACACTTATCAGTGGAGAGTGTAGCTTTCATACCTTTGACATCGGCAGCAGTTGCTTGCTTACCAGTTCTCTCCTTAATGCTTTCGATAACTTCATCTGCTGACTCACAGTGAAGTATTACGGGCTTCAAGTTCTCTTTTTCTTCTGACGATAATCTCCTTGTCAATGGATCACATACCATCCATGAACTACTACATGGATGATTGTGGAGCATGTTGTAGGATTTGATGACATATCCTTGCTCCTCTAGTCTTACACGAAATTTAGATCGACAATTACGGAATTTAGACCTTAAACATAAGATATTAGTTAAAGATCTTACGATTTTTGCCTCACTTTCAAACCTTCCGATTTCCTCTTATGACCAAACGTACAATTAAACGATACAAACAGGTATTTGAACCTGACATCCTTCAGCAATCTGCTTTCTGTGTGGATGTAACGAGTATAAGTAGTCTGAGAAGCGATAAAATTATAATTCCATACTTTTTGGAACTCTTTTAAGGCGCTTTCAAAATCATCCCACAAGACGAAACGCTTGTTCAGTATCATACTTCGAAAGGCATCGGTTAGGTCGACTGAAATGTCACTTGAGCATGAAGCACTAAAAACAGAAATGACTAATTATTAAAAGGTTATTCCTTCCAACAATAATAACCCAAGAAAATACTACAAATACTTAGGATTTACCTGTGACTTGACATTTCGTTGAGCTTTACTACAGTTGTTGGGATCAAAGATCAAATTACAAAGCAACAACAGAGCCAACGTGTACACTACAAAACAGAGAACGCTAAATTAATGGTTTTGGTATTTATTTCGTGCTTTTTTATGTAGCATAACATGACTTATATATGAAAAAACTTGGTACTCATGCAATCCAACCAACCCACGGCAATTGAAATACGGAATGACCGCCTCTAGTCAAGCAGTTCAAGGTCGTTGAAACGAAAGGGCGGGCACATTTCAAAAGGACCTAACGTTTAAACCTTGCCCAACTCAAGGTAAGTGGATAAGCAAGTGAGAGGTTCTCTTTTGTCATTACCAGTTAACTCTTAACAACACAAGTTAAGTTGGTACCCTAGCTTTCTGAAAGAATCGACGTTCATTGGATTGTCGATTCGACCATTTCGGCAAAGAAAAACCATGGTAATGCGGTTCCTAAAGCCAAATGGTGAATCACTAACTCAGTCAGTGCTTGACCCTCTCATTTGCACAATCAAAGGCGACCACCGCTCAACGAACATTCGGAGATAGTCTATTGAAAAATTATGCTTCTCTAGCTTACTATCGCGGTAGCATTTACTTTTCCATAAGTTTTAGCACATGACATGTTGCACGTGCCCTTTACATGGGGATCAGTGCTAGTAAGTGAGTGGAATGTAAGTTTATGAAAACAGAAAATGCTGCGGGAGGGCTACTCAACACCAGGTTGGTGAGATATGATTTTCCCATGCTCTTTCTGCCACTAGGTATTTACTCACCTCTTCTCTAGCTATTCTAAATTCAAAAATAAGGAGCCGAATTCGAAGAATTGCGCTACATTTTGTATGAAAGAATCATATACCCAATACTAGGTGGCTTCTGGGGTTTGGATTTACCACTGAAATATAAGTAACACGATATCAGAAACTGTCTTCAAAAATTGTAGATTCATAGGGGAAACAAAGTGGTTATAACTTTTAAGATCAATGAGTATCAGCGATTATGGCGACAAAGCTGAATTTACATCAAACATATGCTGGTTTAACATTTCTTAGCATCTTAAATGTGTTATCAACACATGCGAAGAAAATATAGGCCTACGGGTTGGTTGAGAACAAAAATAGATGTAATTATGATAATCAAAAGAAAAAAGATTACTAATACACCAAAGTATTCTAAAATACCATGATGAAATGCACAGTAATAATCAGTGGTTATCCATTTAACGTATGAATTGTACAAGTTTCTCGTGCGCATATCAATAATAAAAAATAAGAAGCCACTTGCGTGATAGTATGCGAGAACATCGTACTAGGCGGAGTCGCTACAATTGAGGTCACGCTTCTCGGTACAGCAGAGGGAACCAGATCCGGGCAAGTAGAAGTGTCCTTGTTTAGAAGCTGTACACCAACACGATACTTATTATCACTTCTGAGAATTCTGTTGTGTTGCGAATGGAACTGTTGACGATGCAGTCCGTATGGACAGTCCCAATGTTTGAAAGCACTGGCTAGTAGGCCTGCGAAGCAACCACCATTTTTGTTTGGGTTGTTGAGACCCATTAGCTGAGGAACTACGGAATAAGCTTTTTGAACAGGAGACAAGTTTATTAATTAACTCCTGCTGATACTGAATTCCATCTTTTTGCTCTGTGATGCACCAATTTCTTGATTTTTTGAACTACTGACAAGTGCTGCTATAGCACGTTTGTTCGTGTCATGCCTAGTTTCATGTTCTAACGTCTTCACATTCGGAGAGTCGGACTAATCACTTGTAACATTTTGAAGCCGTTTGTGGGACATTATTTTCTGTAGCTTGTAAGATTGTGTTTGATAAGAAATTGTGACGTCATAGTTTTGCTAGAGTCTGTTATTAAGCACTGTCAATCGATTCAATCATAACTTGCAGCCCGAAAACAACACAGCCTGATTCCAGGTACCAAAAGTGTATTACTAGGGCTGCAATTAAACGCAACTCAATTTCGTAAATGTGCTCTTCAGCTTAGCAACCAATCAGAATGAGGCGGGAATTGTTACATCCGCCATCTTTGCAAGCAATGGCGGTCGGCTTTCTTCGTTCTATGCTTCTTTCAGCTATTTCTTTTGTGTAGCTGTGTAATTTAATGTCTCAGTGTGCTAAAATGCCGCAGTTAGTGTAATGTTCTATATGTTGGTGTGAAGTTTATTTCGAATCAGCGATGTTTGCTGGATTTTTGCTGCTTCTACTCAAGTCAATGTATTTCTTCAGGCAATCTGGCTACTCTTGTGTTATAAAATGTCGCCCGGCTTTCTTCGTTCTGTGTTTTTTCCGCTATTTCTTTTGTGTAGCTACGGAATTTGATGTTTCAGTGTGCTAAAATCCAGAAGTTAGTGTAATACTCTGAACGTTGGAGCAAAATTTTTCCTGATTTTGCTATGTTTTCTGGGTTTTACCTGCTGCTAATGAAGTCACTGTATTTATTCAGCTAAGCTGGCTAGTACTAACATTAGACCTTACGTTTTTAAACGACAATCGGTAATGTTTTACCTTGTTTTCTAGGTATCCGAAGCCGAAGTTCGTTTTCATTTAGCTAAAATAATTGTTGCTGCCGCCTGTGCCTCTAACTGTTCGCATGTTCGTTCCTAACTGTCCTTTATGATGTTATCGGCAAAATGAAAGGAAACAATGTGTTTTTTAATTTTCTTCAGTAGTATGGACAACACTATCCCACCAACGAGTCAAACTAATACAGAGTGCCCAGCAGTAGAGTATATCGGTACAGATTTCGAAAGGACCCAGACTACCGACAGTATAACAAACCTTTCTTCAGTAAAATCATGCACTGACAGTCTATCTGGAAACAATCAACTATGTGAATAAACTCACTATGACTTGAGATATCATCCCAGCGTGCAATGGACGTACTGTGTAACTCAGCCGGACGTGGCGAATAAAAATTAAAAACAGAGCAAAATTAACTACATAATCTAGTTGTTTAATTAAAAATACATTATGAAATGACAAAATCTGTGGTAACTTGAACGCACAAATGACAGTGTGCGATACATTAAGTTTACATGGTTGCGTTGCGGATAAGATCACCCTATTACCAGTCTACAAACAATCAGCCCAAATATGTTGTTTTCATAATAATTATGACAATTGCACAACTGGCGTTCAATTTTCAGGTTTCCGATGCAAAATTTTCAAAATACCAAACCAGTGCAGTATGACACCGAAATGTCCAAGGTCCAAGTTATGGAAAAATAATTCCAAATTTTGGGCGAAACAAGTTTGTCCGGAACATACTGAAATTCTTGATATCCGATATAACAGCTAGATGCTATCGTTTCCTCCTATAACAGAAATTTTAGTGAGCGTTCACATCAAGTTGTGGTTGAGATTCATTGTCTAGTTGCTTTAAATTATCCTTTCACACCGATCATTCCAGTCATCACAAATTTCAACTTCTGTTGTTGTTTACTTTTCCTGATAAAATCAAAGGTTATGATAATAAGATAGCTTGTTCCCAGAGGAGCCTTAATTGAGAGTTTGTCAATTACAAATTATTTGTCGGTGAATATTCAATATAAGCGTGATTGTGCTTGATTATATTTTTGTCAAGCTGCTAACTTGTAATAATCCTAATTCTTCAACGAGGTTGAAGAACCAAGTTTCAGTAAATGTATAGTTTTTATTGCAGTTGTATCTAGCGAAGTTGATTTTCGAAATTTTGAAGTTTCTCGAGATAACGATGTGAGTTTAGCAAAGATGAACAGAGCGGAATAACCCCTTCAGCATACGATTGAGTCAGTCAGTATCTGCACTGGCCCTTCTTTAGATGACTCCAACTTAAGGTGTTTGATAATCTTGCTGAGTATCATAGAGATACATCAAGATTGATAAACTCACGAGTGTAAAGCTTGTGTACTACGACATAGGATCGTCGATCCAAAGTAACTCCACCTAACATTCGCCTCTTTCAGTCATTGCGAAACAAAGACATACTGCTTACTGCCAGCTCCTGATCTATGGTTTAAAGTGAATCCTGTCAGATGAACATTATTAGCGTTATAAGTCCCCACGATTCATCCAGTTTGTTTGGTAAACTCACAGCGTTAGTGCATGAGCAACTGATCCTTTGGGTTTGAAATGTATTAGTGTCCTCGTCTTGTTTATTTGAATGAGCCTTATATGAATGGACATACAACCTGACTACACAGGGTTATCCAAGCAGGTCGTCGCGTCCCTTTAACATTTTAGTCTTACGCTTGATAGTTCACAAATAGAAAAGTTGGTAACAGTTTGCTTTGTACTTAATTCTTGCATCATTTGGACTGTTTGGATGCAGATAGGATACAGTTATTAATTAGCGTCTGCTTGGAAGAGACCACTGAAGTGTGGCAGCCACATTTGTGAAGAAAAGAAGGCTGTCTTTATTAACTGAGTTCTCGAATCCCAGTCTTTTACAACTAATTGTGCCACTTGTTCAGTGAATATATTACTTGATGAATGAAAAAACAAGTCGCTGATGCAGTAAGATTCGAGGGTAGAGCAAGGGTCTGTGCAGAAGCAGTTTAGAGTGATGCAATGAAGATTTCTATTAGCTGCAACGAATTATAATCAAATATCACTTTCTATGGGTAATATATCCGTGATGAAAATAAGATGAATTCGAAAAGTCAATTTATTTAAATGTAATGCAAGACATTTTGTTTTTAATCCTAAACTTTGAATGTTTAGAAGTAAACGTTTCGTGGATGGAAAAGAGAGAGAAAAGAAAAGGACAACTGATGCACCAAATGATTGACCATAATAACTGGAGTACATTGTCTATTGACATCTTGCGTAAAACATCAACTTTAAGTGCACTCGAGTGAAAATAATGTGAATTTATATAATGGGATTTGAAGCAAAACGTGATATTAGTATAAACGTTTGTGCAGTAATGATTAAGATTGGTGTGATCAAACAGTACCCACACGTCTCATTCTGACTTTGTCAGGTGACTAACATGCACAACATCCTTGCTGTCGGCAGCGATAGTAACCGTTACATAGTCTTGAACGATTTGGATGTTTTATGTACTTCCCCTAGATATGTCATATAACCGTTGGTGGTTCTGTTTTTGAGAGTTTTAGTTTCCTGTTTAAATCCACAAAGCATCCTGTTGTTTCTGTTTCGTAAAGTGAGATAAAAAATCAGAGTGGTCTTTGAGGCTCTTGATCATTAAGGAATCATCACAAACTTCAATCTGTTCCCCAGGTTTTTGGAAACTCCAAGGTTGGGGTATTTTCCGGCAGGTAAATTGTAGTTCG